TCTCCTTAGAGGTCCTGCTGGGTATTGCCGAGATGCTCCGGTCGCGTCGAGCGGTATCTTCGATGTCGTAGAGAGAGTCGTCGCGTGCCCTGTCGTAGCGGCGGGACTGCCTTCGTTGAATTCTGTTTTTACTTCTTCCGTTCTATTCTCATTCGAGCCACATGTTGCGAACGGAAAAATTGATCGCCGCACAGATTCAGCGGGGAACAGGGCCTGCCGAGAGAAACTGGAGCTAGGGACTCCGGAGCTGCCCACAAGGCCGCGTACCAATAAATTGCATTGCTTGTTCCCGCATCTGCGAAACTTCCTACGATGAAGCGTAGGTCAACTAATCGCTGTAGATCAGCCAAGCAAGCTTCATTTTATTTGTTCTTCGGTGGTGGAACGTGAATGCACTCGCGCACGCGATTGTCGTCGTTGCGGAAGGAGCGTGACCGATGTTCCGCACTTCACATTTAGCATCGAAGATGGGTCTTTATGACGATCTCAGGAATGGATTGCGGAGTATTATTCGCTGCTTACTCCGTCCCTGCATCGCTCGGAGTTACGCCTCCCTCGACGCTGCCGGTGCCATGAAACATTGAGTTCGGCATTTGTGGTCGTCTCAGTGGTCTGATTCTCCATCCGTCGGCTCGAGGAAGGAGGCTCGGGCCCTAGGGTTTCCTGAGGAGGATAAAGGGGAGGGTCGCGTGGAATCTTCAAGAGGACCTCACAACCCCGGAGGTCTTGGCTACGGCAGGGAATCTAAAGACGGTGGACGACGGCAACGAGCTCAAGCCATTTTAGCCGACGCTCAGTCAGCTCGTTTCGTTGCCAAGCAATTATAAAATCAACAAGAGGACAAGATTGTATGTTCAAGAACACACAGGGAGCTCCGAAACACCGACTTCGTCCTGCCCGACAGAGGGTCGGTGCCGCCGCTCAAGAGAGATGGCTGTCGTCGATAATCTCTTGGAACCCTCCGGAGGGTTTTAGGGTCGTAGACATTTCCGATTCCCGGGATCAGTCGTGAAAACTCTTATTCCGATGGGTTTTCGTAGCATAGGGAGGATGATTGGGCTCGATCGACTACAGAAAACGTCATGCCGAGTCCAGCGAAGTCAGTCTATCCGAGAGGGAAACTCATTCGACGAGCCATCGAAATCGTGTGTGTTGGGACTTCTCTCCATTCGAAGCTTTCCGCTGCTGACCGACGCCGACGCTTCGCGGAGCGAATATCCCGACAGCACGGATTGGACCCGTATTCATCTTACTACTCGAGAGCCACCTCCTCCATTTGAACTGTGCCCCGGGAGAACGAGAGCCCCCGGACACACCTTCTCGAGGACGCACTATGGACTTGGCGACAACATGAGAACTCATCCGCTACAGGGAGTCTCTCCTCCCATGCTCATTCTCGGATCGGCGCTTGATCCCTCTTCCGGCTTTGTCCCGGCTGTTTGTTTCGGAAAACTCAAGGAGCGGATAAACTATCGACCCCGCACACGAACGAGGCCCATGGAAGGGGTGCGCCCATCGTTGGGGATAAAAGGGTACATAGCGTCATTCGGTTCCCGGCTAGTTCCTTTCTAGACCTGTCCGTGTCCCCGTCCTTTCCACCCTGCGAGTGCGGCGAACTCCTGAGTGTGAGTCCTTCCATCTGTTCTTCTAGTTTCCTTGACCGTCCCCGACTCATTCTTCTCATGCTCGTTCTCGTTCCTTCGGTGAATCTCCCTCTCATGGCCCTCCTCTCTCTTCTCACGCACTTCCCCCTCAAACTTCCGAGTCTTTCCGTCCGAGGAGGCGAGAGCTCGGCTGTGTGTTCTACTCACCAAATCCTCAATAGCTCCGAATTCGATCGGGAGGAAAGACAAAGTATTTTCCTTCTGCTCCGTCGTTCTCCGTTCGATTGTTGGTGGGAGCCTTCTGGAATGGTTGGTTGGTCGGTCGCTCGCTCGCTCGCTTCGTATCTTGGATGGAACGACAGGTTCGGAAAGACCCAGTGAAGGATTCCAGTGGCGAACTTCCCCGCTTCCCGAGCCCTATCCAGCTCTGGAGAACGTCTCCTCTCGATCTCGCCCATCCTTCCCAGCCCCACTCGATTAACTCAGTCCCCTATTTCACCCATTCTCGGAATTCCGTTGGTCGGGAGAAATTCAACCCCCTCGCTTCCGGGTCTGAATTTTACTGCAGTCGCTCACAAGTTCGTCCGGCTCTCTAGCGCTCAAGGTAACTCATCCGAGCTGTCACTAATGAGGCGTCGTCCATCCAAGATCCGGGATGCCCACTCCTTTTGAAGGAGTATCGGACCGAAGTGTTAGCGTCCCATCTCGTCATGAGGGACTTTACGTCCGGCTCATTAGCTGAGTGACTGAGTGAGTGAGTGTTAGACTCCGGAAGAGAGTGAATCAATGAATGACGACGAGCAAAGGGGAGAAAGCAACCGACTGACTGACTGACTGGCCGACCGACAGACCGGCTTGCTGGCGGCTGTATGCCGGCAAAGCCATCGGATAAAGTGGCTTTTTTTCTCTCAATCACCCATCCGCTCTCGGCCGAGCGGACGCCTCTTTGCTCATCTCACGCAGCGAGCTCGCTCGTGGGTGGGGTAGGAAGCTCACCGAGTCACCGTGAACAAGAAGAGCCTCACTGAGCAAGAATCCCAAGGAGAAATTCGTTAGCTGACCACCCTGGGAACATCTCACCGTAAGCAGCTAATTTATCCAGTGTCCATCAAATGCGATCACCAGTGATTCGTCCGGGTGAGAGGATGAATCACTGACGTAATTTGGCTCCCTCGCGTCGAGTGTATAGACAGATAAGAAAACTCTGAGCGAGCCAGCAGTCGGTGGTCAGCCGAGCAAAAGGTCCCGAAAAGCTTGTTTGTGGTCGGAAGCGAGCGGAAGAGGTGCGAGACAGCGAACGGGATGACGGGTGCGCGCCCGCTGGCCTGGAGCGAGCGGCAAGGGGTCTGGAATCAGCGAAGAGTGGCGGAAAGAGGAGCGCGGAAGCAGTCCGCCCCCCCCTTCCGTGCACCCACTCAACCGAGCCAGTCGGCTAGCAAGCTGGCAGGCAGCGGAGGGGAGGCGGCTCCATTTGTCTCCGAGAAAAATGAACACAGGAAGCAAACGAGTCTTCCTGCGGAGCCAGACGCGCTCCTAGGTCATCAAGGCCCAGTTCAAGGCCGAGCGTGCGGTTTGCACCTTTGCTGTTCCAAAAAACAGAAGTGTTTTGTTCACCGTTTTCGACCACGAGACGCGGTCGAACTGTCCGTCAATCAACCAATCAATCGGTCCAGTTATCGATGGATCTGTACGGATCCGTAGACCTCTTCCGGGCTCGCTTCGCCGTACCAAGCCAGCGCCGTGGATTTAGAGCGCAAAACACTTAAGAAAGTTTTTCGCTCTGAAGGCTCCCAAGAAGGGCATCCGGTGACTTCGGGGAATTTTTCTGATTTGGCTTTTCGTATCTCAATCCCCCGCCGAATCGATGATCTTGGGCACGACGATATTCGAGCCTCGAGTGCGAAACGAGCTCGGCAAGAGATACGTGGGAGCTTCCGAGTTTTGCCGTCGGACCGCACCGCAGAGTGGAACTCGAGGAAACTCAGGCAAGCAACGGAATTATGCGTTGCTGCGAACTTATTCTTCCAGCTCTGCGGTCGGTGACGGAATGATACTGCAAGAGAGCTCGTCTCGCGGCGGAACTCGCAACGAACGGCACATAACATTCCATTTTTGTTTTCTCTCTCGTGTTCGCGCCGGTGTCGACACCTCCGCAGCAGAATTCCCGCGAGAAGGCTCCAAGCGACTCCGCTGTGGCTCCTCGTATCCGCTGCCTCTCCCCGGGAAGAGGAAAAAGACGAAGGGTCAACGAATCCGACGCCCACGACTGCAAGGCGAAGGAACCTAGGAAGTCCGAGGGAACCGGCGAATGGGACTAGGAATGTACGCGTAACGGAAGCGGTAGGGAATTCAGACGGGAACCCGGCTGCGCGGGCAACCGATTCGGGAAAGACCGACTATTGAAATCTAACGGTTCTCGCGTTCTCGGCGGGAGAGGGGATAAGGAAAAATAAAACGTCGAACGAACGGCCCGCCAACGAAAATTGGCTGTCGCGGGAAAACGCAAAGACCTTTCACTCAGTCTTTCCCTCATTCGACAGCCTGTGTCAGGCAACGGCAATTTTTTTCCCGAATCTCGGAGAAAAATTGAAGAGAGCGGCGAAAGGTCAGACGAAGGTCAAGAAAACGAGGCGTTACATCGATGACGAATCGACGACAAACCTCTCCAAGCAGAGGAGGAACGAACACGGAATCTCGAGGGCGACAAGCCGAGCCCGGAAGCGACGGGGGAATGCACGAGCGAGAGAGCAATAACTACAATTTGTCGAGATAGGAAATCGATGTGAGATATGTGCATGCAGGAACTGCTCTCGTATTTTCCAAAACAATTTACCGGATCTGTCAGCGCTCTACGCTATCCGCGTCGAATTTCTCGACCTGTTCTCACAGTCCGTGGGATGAAAAATTCCGAAGGACGACAGTCGCCGCAGAGCAGCCGTGAAAAGCAAAAAAGAACATATTGCGCTCTGAGCCGGCAGACGCTTAAACAAAAGCAGCCGTGCCAGAAGCAACAATGTGCTCCAGGGTGAGGCTCCCATTAATTTTTCCCTGGAGCCGGGCTTCTACCGCCCCGCCCCCCTCCCTCCCTCCCAAACCCAGGGGGAGGCAGCTGACTCTGACCGGGTGAGATGTCCTTAGAAAAATGACGAGCACTCAGACCGGATTCCGGAGATGAAGTTCCCCGGAGGTCATGAAGCTTTCCATTTCTCGATTTGATTCGCGACTCGGTCGCTAAGGGCGCAGAAGCGAGCTCTCTTATATTGTTCATATGAACGGAGACCGTGTTGTAGGGAGTGACAGTCGGCGTCGTTTCGAGTTTTTCCATTATTTGTGAAGTATTGAACTACATGAATGTTGAGCCCAACACTGACCATTCCTCTCTACCCTCTATTCCAGTGGCCGATGCCTTCGTCAAACCCCCGACGGGGATCTTGTCAGGAACCTTCAGCTTCGTGTCGAACTACGATCAATGTCTGAAAATCCCTGAGTTCGATCTCGACGACATTGAGAACGTTCTGCAAAAATATCCGCGACTACCCTCCAAAGTCAAAGGAGCTTACTGCAGCTTCAAGCTGCGTTTGAAGAGGAACAAATACTTCAAACGACCCGAGAACGAAACCCTCAGCGAATTCCAGGAGAATATGAAGAAGGAAGAGCACAAGATGGATGGTAGGAGCTTGATTAGCATCCACGGATAGCGCGTGGTGTCTTGGATTCTGATGAGCTCGAAAGCTCTCCAAAAGCAGGGAATCTCCTCGTGTTTCGATTTTTGGTGGCATCGGGATCCCACCTTCTCAATGCTCCAGTCGGAGAGCGGGGAGCGTTGGCTGTACCAGAGACTCATTCCGCTTGATTTTGCCTTCCAGATGTGTACAAACTGCAGCCTGAGTTCCCCGGATACGTAGGACTTTGCGTCCCCTCGCCCTGCTCCAAAGTGTCATTCGAGAATCTCGGTCTGGCGATGAAGAACATTCTACTCAAGTATATCAAACCCAATCGAGAAAAGTTTCCGATCTTGGTCGGCATTGACGCGGTGTCCTGCCATCAAGCCGATGATCTCCCCCCCGCAAACTTTGGTGCCAGATTCATCTCGTAAGTTTGATTCGGTCTTCTGGGAAACTCGAATAAACGCTTCCCTCCCCTCCAATGTATATTCTTAACATGTTCTGTTTGTTCTCAGTGGCATATTCATCCTCCTGGCGATAATCGTTCTCATCGGAACTCTAGCGGACATCATATTCTGCTTGAAACTGAAGCGCGATGATATTTCTAAGGATGAGGCCAAGCACTCGTATGACTTCGGTGAGTTTTTGACGACGGTCCGTTTATGGGCTTCCTTGACGATTCTTCTCGACGAGCAATCCTGATCGCTTCATTCCTCCCGCGAGCCTCCAAAACCCGAGGCAGGTCCAGATCTCGTTTTGAATCGCACGAGAGCTCTGGCGATCGTCCCCGGGCGGCACTCTCTTTCGGTCTCCCCTCTTGGTATTTCGGAGCTCTGCATCCGAAAAGGGTATTTTTGAAAAAAAAATGGTCTGCGCGGGGCGACATCTTCGTAGAGCAAGGCATCAGGGTCGGAAGTTCCGGGATGCCGCCTCCGGCACGGTGGGCCACTGGAAAGGAGAGGCAGTATTGTTTCTTCCCCGAAATTCCGGTATCTATTCCGCGGCGGAGAGTTTTCGGAGGCAGGGGCAGGCGGTCGTCCTGTGAGACCTCGATCTTCCTCGTCCGTCCAATATTCGACGGTTTCTTCTGCTCACTTTCTCCAACATTGCACTTGTTGCAAGTGGCACCTTCTCTGAGTTCGAAACCTGTAATAATCTGGCCAGGGATACCGTTGAGCCGTCCGACCGCCACGGACAAACCAGGGAAAAATCGACCCAGTTTTGGGATATTCCAGTCGCAATCCGGTCGCGGAGTATGATTTATCCGAGGCACCAGCGTCCACCGTCCAAGTCTGGAAATGAAGAGGTTAGCGCGTCGATTGGCACCGGCCCAAGCAAGCAGCAGCGGCGGCGGCGGCGACGGCGAGGGCCACCAACTACATTACACGCTTGCATTCGATTTGGGTCGTTGCGTCTTTTTAAAGCCTTCACACAGCGCTCTCTCGTCTCCCTCCATTGAAGTTTGGGCTGTTTCGGGGTCATCGAGACAAGGTCGATCTTGGTCGCTCGGACCGTCGCAGAGACTCGTTTCCGCAAAACGGGTCCACCTTGAGAGCCAGGGGAACGATAAAACTCAGCGAACCGCGTTAGGCTCTCTATCGGTGGAATCTGAAGAAATCGACTTTGTGATAGCGACTCGGGAGGGACAGCCCGAGAAGGATGTATGTCATGTCGAGCAACAAAATTCATACGGCCGTTTTCATTGCATTTCAGCCTTGGAGGGTAACTTCGCACAAATGCTCCGCTCGTGCTCGGCCGTGGTCTCTTTCAGGCAGTTGATGGATACGCGTGTCCCAACGCACACCGTCAAGTGCCTTTACGGAGTCAAATTTTTCGCCATTGTCTGGCTCATTATGGGAAACACGGGCCAGCTTCGCGCAGGAAATATGACGACGAACATGAAAGAGATGGAGAAAACCCTCCAAACAATGACCACGCAGTTCGTACTCAACAAAGATTTGGCCGTCGATACTCTGCTGGTTGTGAGGTGAGTGAGCTCCCCGAGGCTTGTTAGTTTCCCCTCGGTGACAGGATCGATTCCGAGCGGGACATTCCCCGCACCGAATTCGAATGTGAGCGCTATCAATTTCATCTGCGACTCGCTATACGTTTCCTAATTGATATTGATGTCTTCGCTATGCTCATTATCGTTGAGTTCATCTCGAATTATACACGCAGTTTTGTCCGAGGGAGCGCTTCCTCGGACAAAACTGCCGGGATCCATCTTTTCGAGGAGTTCAGAGATCGAATAGCCATTCACATCGTATAAAAAGTCTCTTCGATTCGAACTGTTTCGCCGACGTGGAAGGTCGCCTAGGCAGATGAAATGCTCTTGAAGAATCCGAAACTTTATGTCGAGCACGTACGGCACTCCACGTGTGCCCGTTCACTCAGGGGGAAAGTTCCTGCAGGCATTCCTGAATTCTTCGGGATACATCTGGCAGCAGAGGGCGCCCGCTAGATAGACGCGACCAATATAGATACGTGAATTCATTGGAGATCATTTTTTCGCGTTCTGTAATCGGTTGCGCCCGTCCTGATGTCGACGAATCCGCCTATTGCTGTCACATGACTCGAGTAATGAATGTGTGCTCACCGCGGTTTGTCGAGAGTCCCCGGGAACGGATCGGAGATCTTCGGCACGAACGCTATCGCGCTGTGTCTGTACCCGGAGAAAATCGAGAGATCTCCTCCAAGTGTTCGGGACCATCCGGTGCTCCGCTTGATTGAGCAGGAGTGACGAGGATTCGCTCATGCGTTGAGTCATGTTCTAATTATTTCAGCGGAGTTTTGTTTGCGTTCGGACTCTCGAAGAGAAACGGCGTCGGTCACGTCCTGCGCTACAGCGGTCACCGACTCATGAAGACAGTGCCGATGTACTATCTCCTGCTTTGGTTCCTCGTATGTTGCTTCGCGCGAATGGGAGCAGGACCCACGTGGGATATCGAGAGTCAACGTTACTTGTCAAAGTGCGGGGCGACGTGGTGGGCAAACATTGCATTCATTAACAACTTCCTCAAGGTTGAAAATCAGGTAAACAAACTTCGAAAAACGAGATGATAGCCTGGCGCTATTTTCGGTTGTGTCATCATTCGGACCGCGTCTGCCTCGATAATGGTCCCGTATCCCTCGAGGAATAGCAAGGCGGAAGCGCAAGTGATGGAGCCGGCGGAACTTTTCCTTTTAATCTGAATTCCGTCTCTTTCAGTGTATGCCCCACTCATGGCTTGTCGCCTATCTGATGCAGGGCCTCATCGTTGCAGTTATAGCTACGTTTTTCTGGAAAAAGTAGGTTTCGGTCGCCTGCGCTCCGAATGTCCATGACGAGGGAGCGTCTTTCGCTGTAGCTGAACAATGTAATTCTTGTCGACAGGATGGAAAACGTGACCCATTTCGTGCTCGGAGTTCTAGTCGTGACGACCATGATCATAGATTTCGTTCTGAACCTGTCGAATAATCTGGGCCCTACGACGCTTCTTCGGGAATACCGTTCAGGGTAAGTGTCTCGAAGTCTCTGGTGTCGATTGTCATTTCTACGCTCCCTCCTGCCGGATAGAATAGATGGCAGTTAGGTATGAGGACACTGTCCGTAACCGAAGGGCAGCCTCGTGTACTATTCAAGCGTTAAGGCGACAATCCTCCACATTCAGATCGAAGAACGACTACATGTCGATTGTGGGAATGCAGATCTACAGCCGAGGGGGCCCGTTCTTCATCGGTCTCATCATAGGTTTCATCTTCAACCAGAAGATGAATAGCAAGGGCACGTTCAGCAAGCTCGGCCGACTTGCCACAACATTCATGTGGCTTATGATTTTGACCGTGGTCATTGTGACCATGAACGCCACGTTCAATTGGAACCGAGGTGGGTCAGCAATGTTTTCCTCCTCCACGACCTGTACAGAACAGAAATGTATCGACAGGCAGAATTGCAGGAATTCACAATCGCATGGTTTCTCTTCGCCAGGTGCATCGTATCCCAGCAACTCCGTTTCGGCTGTTTACGACGCATTCCATCGCGTAGTGTTCGCGCTGGGTACGGGGCTCCTCATCATGATGTGCCACGCAAAGAAAGGAGGAATCGTCAACATGCTCTTGTCGTGGCCCGGTTTTATTCCTGTGGGCAAACTCTGGCTCCTTATCTATCTTGTGCACCCGTTTGTTATTTTCCACAGCAACGGCACCCTCCGCGCTCCTGTATATTACACCAAAAAACAGCTCGTAAGTGATTTATTGTTTCGGCTCGACGGATCCCATTGCTGGCTCCGAGCTGAAAGGGCTTTAATTAGGTAGCCGCGCGAGATCATATTTCCCTGAAAACGCAAGCGAAACACGTTGATATCAACGAAGGAGAGGGGAGGAACTGCAATCGAGCGGGAGTCCTACCGAACGAGTTCGTAGTACTCTCCGCTATCGATCCGAGGAAGCCCTAAGGGAAACCTCCGACTGAAGTTTGGAGGAGCTTCCTCCGAATATCCCTCGAAGGTTGGAGAAACTTTCGGCGTCACAACTGGCCTCAGGGATCTCGACAGAAGAGGGGCTCGCCTTCTCATATCGTGTTAGCTCGCCTTTGCTCACATCTATGATTTCATCTGTTCTGTTGTGTATCTGCCTTCTCTCTGGCCGGCCAGTGATTGCTGATGCAAGCTGGAAATGTGAGGAAACACCTGGCAGCCAAGATCCATTCTATTGCTTCATGTCGACAGACGGTGGCGACGCTGTTCGACGGACGATCGGACGGTCGGCGAGAAGAAGAGCGAGCGGGATGACGGCCGGCCAGGAGACGGCGGGTCCTCATGGACTCCGGGCTCTCTGTCGATCTGGCGGTAAGCCGTCGAATAGTTGGTCATGAACCCTTTACTGCTCGTCTACTTATGACCTTGACAGACGAACCTGTCGACGGGTGGAACGAGTTGGGGAAATGACCGTCAAGCCTGGAAGGTCAATTTTAATTGATTTTCCCTGGGAGGATATCCAATAATATGTAAATAGCGGCGGCAATGACGACCTCGGACGACCTTCATAGCGACGTGTTTCCTCTGCGGCAAGGCTGCTGAGTCAAAACGATATAACGGCGGTATGACAAAAATTTGTTGTACCGAAACTGCTACTGGGAGCGAGCGGTCGGTCCAGCAACCATACAAAAACAAGGTAACACTCAGATGCCGAGGGAATTCGACGGCTGCTCCGTACCGTTTGTTTTTCCCTCGCGAAACATGCGTCTATGATAAGTGCATTCCTCTGAAAATTGTACGCTCTTGTCCAAGCATCGTATTCGCGTTCTCTCCGCGTATCTCATCTCCCTCCCTCCAGCGGTATCGGAGTTCGCTCACATTCATGGGAAAAAGAAATGCGTGCGTACCTGTGATTCCTACTGGCTCGCCACAGGACTATCGACGGGGAAGATCACTCAAGCTGGATGGGCTGCGAGAGCCGACAGTTGAAACTTAGTCCTCCAAGTAGAAACGTTCGCGGCGGGTGAAGACTTGCTACAGCTTCCCGCTATTTTCGCTCAATGATAGTATCGTGAGGCGAGCCTTTTGTTTTTCTTTGGCACATGCAACGCGAGCAAAGCAGGCTCCGGAAGAGAGAGCACTCGACAACAAACGAGTGAAACGAACGCTCCCTGAAGCGAGCCCGCAGCGGCTTGAATTAACAGTTTGGCTCGGTTCCGTCGACGCCAAGCCAAGTTGTTTAGGTTCATTAGCGCATGCCTCCTCCCCTGCGATTCCTCTCCGCCCCTCTCCTCAGTGCACCCCATCCGACTCCTGCCGCCGATCCTTTTATTTCGAGGGACGCTACGGAGCTCCACAAAATTTTCAACAAACGATGTCGACGGCGGCCACCGATGCCGACGGTGCCGAGTCCTTCTCAGCGAATTGCACAGACGTTCTTGCTCCAGCTCACAGATTTACTCCCCACGTAGACGCGGAAAACACAGCAAAACCTCCGGAAATGATTGATAGATCCGGAGGCGCTGGCTCCCGTTTGCTGTCCGGGCCTAGACTAACCGTTCGCTGACCAAATCGATTCGTTCGGAAGCCGAGATTGGGGAACCGAACGTTTCGGAGGCTTAAGATGGAACGAAGGAAGAAATGTTTCTCAAATCCAAGTCACTTTCGTGCGAGCCCACATACACGGAGGGTGACAGTCGCTTCGACTGCGATGGCAGAAAGTCTAAAGCGCTGGTGGCGGGGGCAGCGGTGACGCCAAAGGGAGCAGGAAGTGGAAGGAGAGGATGATCAATCGCGAGTGACACCATCAAGCCTCTGTACAAGAGCCTATTTTGGATTTTTTTGAAGCTCCCTGTCCACACAAAGGGCTGGTGGTGGATTTCGCCGATCGTCCCTCCAGGAGCTAAGGAGCTCCGTGATGTCTGCTTCCCTCAGTCAAACTCCGCGCATCTCCCATACGGCAAGAGTCAATATGAGCTCGTGATGCTTTCTGGATGGATTTAGCCAGAAGCTTCGCCCATCGCAGCTCCGCGGTCGGAGCTCTTCGCAATGTCATAGTGTGCGAACTTGGTGCTTCCCATCACGGATCGCACCACAATCGATGGAGTCAGGGACTGTCGGCTCTTGGCGTGGTCATTTCCACCCAATGCCTTAGCGGCGCTGCCCGCGTTCGTACCGCACGGACTCCGTAGCATCTCTCCGCAGGCGGTTGCTCCATTGTCACTTCTCGTCTCAAGGGTTCGGAATCCCTTGTCGGTATTTGCTTTGTATCCATCTTGCTTCCGTGCTCCTACACTCCACCGTCCACCTTAGCGGGCCTGTCCCCTGCCATCCATTCGTACACTCCTCAGAGCTTTCTCAGCGGCGGGCCCTGAAAAATTCGGACGGTTCTAGTGTTTCTCTTTCTTTGGTGTCATTTGGAACCAAGAACCCAACACTGTTCCCCCTCGCCTTCGTTTTCTTCTTGGCTGTTTATTTTTCTCCCTCCGTCGTGGGACGACGATTCAGCAGGTCTAATTTATCTTCGTCCAGGAAACGGTAGTTGCATTGTCTCCTGGCGCTCCTTTCGGCTGGTCTATTCCTGCTTCCATTCCTTCGTTGGTCCTCTGGATACCGCATGCTCCGGGTCGCCATCGTCGCTACCGTCGAGTGCAAAAGCTCTGTCGAACGAAGCCTTTCTCGCTTCAAACTTTCTTCAAACGGAGTCGACAGCTGCGTCGGTCATGTCCCATCTGCGCGAATGCTTTCCATGTACTTGTTATGTAGTTGCGATCCTCCGAGTGGATCTTCAGTGGAGGTTCAGGACCTTCGACGGTTTCTAGCGCCGGAGAGCTCTGTCCAGATGTTCGATCGTGACCTCGACGACGGTCTCACCTCAGGGAAGTAGCGACAGAGCTTCCGTCTTTGCCGATGAATACTTCCCAGCGTCGATGCTCATTGGGGCAAATGACTTCGTCGCAGCCCGAGAAACTGATTCCGTTTCCACTTCACCGCCTGCCGGGCAAAGGGAGGATCTAATCGCTGCTCAGTCTATCTGGGTTGTGTTTCTTCCCCGCTGGCCCGTGGACGTCAGACAGCTCGTCGGGTGAGGGGGGTGGCCCGTCCTCGCGACAAAAAGAAAGACGGGCGCAGGAACTCTTCTTATCTATGAGGGAATAAAAACTTCCCGACAAAACCAACCAGTCGACGCACAGACCGAACCGACAAACGAATGGGAGAGTAAGAGACCATCCGTCCACGACAACGTCGACCCCTACCCGTTCGCTAGCCAGCTAGTGGCGGTTCGGAGACTTGTCGGTCGCTTCCGCTAACATGTCGTAATGATTCTAAATTGAGATGTCCGTCCGTGCTACGAGCATGGGGGCGGGCGTCTGGTTGTTCCGCTCGCGTTTGTCGGTCGCGTTCTGCTCCGTCCTTTCTCCGCATTTTATTCACTGCGATCATCATCTGCGACTGGGCTATTATGAATGACACAAATACGCGAGCCTTACATATTACGATAAGTATCGCTGCGACTTGCAACTTGACCAGGAATATTGCGAGGGGCACCCACCTCCTCACTAGCTCCATGGAGAGGGCTGGTGAGAACCACCGATTGCTGGACGGATATAGCGGAGAGCAATCTGTGCGAAGTTGGGGAGATCGTGAGAATCGGAAAATTCCCCTGCGAATTTTGGGACATCCGCGAGCGAGGGCGGATCTTGAGGATACGTGATATCCTATACGGAGCTTCCCGTCGGAGCGCTACCTTTGCCCCCTATTACATTCCGAGTCCTCAGTTTAGTGACAGCGAATCTTCACCTCGCCCTGGTGACTCGGGTATGGTGGCTAGCGCGTTTGTCACTACTCGTGCAAACGTGCGTTTCACTTCGTGAAATGCCGCAACGACGCCGCTCGCGCGGGAGGCGGTGTGGGTTCGATCCCTGCTTCCGGAAGAATATGCAGGTACTCGGCCTTGATCCTCCTGGGTACATTTGCTCTATGGATCCGTCCTCGGAAGCAATGTGATTAACAGTACCCGGGACGTTAAACCTCGGCTGTGTGGATCAGCCCGAAAAAGTTTTTGGTGACTCGGGGAGTAATCCATCGGGAAGGACTATCCCGGAATGTACTTTACATATTCTCGATACTACGAGAATTAACATTCTCATCTCTCTAATTCCAGTTCTCCGAAATCTTGTGGAACCTCGTCATCTCCATTGTTGTTTCGATCGTGCTCCATATTCTGCTTGTAGCTCCGTTCCAGGCTATCGAGCGCTTCTTCTACGACACTTTCATCGAGCCATCCGATGAGAGTGATTCTAGCAACACCTACCTGCGGTACACGTATCCGAAGAAGGATGTGGAGACCGGCAGCTCGAATCAGAGCAGTCCTTCAGCGCGGAAAGACCGGGAAGAGCTGCCCGAACCCTACGACAAGCATCAGAGAGATTATCCCAACGGCGAAGACACGACGGACAAATCCGACGAACAAGTATGAACACCACGAACGTCTCGACCTATAAGAGCGTTGATTGATCGATCGAGCGAGCGATCAAGCCAGCAAGCAAGCGCGCAAGACAGCTAGGTTTTTGAATGACTGCACTCGTTGGAAGTTTCCGTTGACGTTTCTTGAGGAGCGAGCTGCACCCTAAAGCCTCGTCCAACATGCCAAGCTTGATTCCCCCTCCTGTTATGACCCCAATAAGAGCAGCTACAGTTCTTCAGTGCTGGGTACCACCAGAGGAAGCAATGGGAAATTCAAAAGTAACGCCGTCAGAAATGTTCCCCGACCTATCCCCCCGGTGACAGTCCACCTCTGCGAATGTCGCCCATCCGTGCACCGACCCAGACTTTTTCTCCAGGTCTTGAGCACAAAAATCTTCCCATTCGAAGTAGCCTATTCCTGTCGATCCTCGCACTGAATCGTATCTTAAATCCAGAGCAATCAATTCCCAAGTGTGCACGCCCCAGAATGCACTGCCTACTCGAGAAAAGCTGCTGCTGCCGTCCACCGAATCACGTGATCCTTGTTTGCAGCGTACCCTTCCCTCAGTGAACTCCAAACCCTTAGGTCCCTCAGGAAGAAATACGGCGACGTAGGGCTGGAGGCATTCCATTGCATTGTTTTACCTAGTCACTAAGGTCCTCAAACATCCAAGTGCCATTTTCGATAACCAAGATTGACGGAAGATTTGTTACTTATTGTTTCCCGGTTCGGGATCAATTTGACCCGTCATTCAACGGTAAGCCCGGTTCTGATCAAAAAGATTCGAATAATCATCACAGTCGACACTATGCAGGAGAGTCGCAGACAGTTCCTGGAATATTGTTCGCACAGTCAGGACTGTCGAGCGTTGAGCGCACATATGGACTCGCCTTCGCTCGACCAAGCGAAGGAACACAATTATTGCAAAATTAAATGGCAGAGTCCCTGTGCGAAGAGATTTCCAACTGACCATACTCTAGCTTCGCCCTGAGAATGAGATTCCGTCGGGAGTATTCCCCGAGTCGGATCGTCCGTGTCTGGATGAATTTCTCGCTTGCGACCAAAATACCGCTCACGAGAGCGCTGTATAATTATCTAGAATATTGATACGTTATTATTTTCGATAGATATGAGCATTTCAATAAAAGTATTGTGCTTTATAGCTGGTCGTCCGCTCCTCAGTGTCTTCCCCCGGTACGCCAGCGTTTCGCTCGTGGTAGATTCTGCCTAATCGTCGTTACCGGATTTCTCGTTGCAAAGAAAAATTTGTCGAAGTCGGTCGACGGCACCTCACTGCCTTCCGGAGCTTCAGAGCGACCCTTTTTTCCGTAGAGCGGAGTCCCAGCGCTTCCGCGCAACACGCCATGCTTCTTTCGCCACCCTGCCCACCTTTGTACTCGGCTGGAGTGTGGGGCTTTGTGAAGCTTTTCTACAATTTTGACTCCGCAATAAGCTCGGGCTTTTGTGCTCAGCGGATACCGGAATTCTCGGCACGACGACGCTGACGTCGACAGCAGCGCGGGTGATACCCTCGACTATACAGACGCCTAACCAAAAAAAAAAGAATTAGACACTGCAGTGAGTCCCCCCGGCTTCCTCCTATCTGTTCGCATTCATGCGATGGGAGTATTACACCGCTCACGCAAGAGACTCTTCATCCGAGGACGACACTCATCTCGACGTGGTGCCCATCCTTTCGTCATAGATTTTATTCACCATCCATTACCCCATCCACGCCATACGCTTTCCTGACCCGCATGCTCTACGCTCGAATTATGAGATATCGTTATCCAGATGAGTGCATAGACAGTGCTTTCCATCACGAGAGGTCGATTGACGCTCTCGAAACCGAAGCCTCAATAATCCGGAATCAAACCACTAACCGATGACTAACCGATACCATTTTACTAACGAAGGAGGGGGAGCCTCTCGTGGCTAACGCTCGGAATTCGCTAAGAGATCATTCGCACATCGGAGACTTCTACGAGGCTCCTCGTATCGACGCCAATATCGATGAGCTAGAAGAATCACCGCGGAGGAGCCGCAAGCATCTGGAGAGCCTAGAAGAGAAGCAGCTAGCGCAGAAATCTGGAGGCGAAAAAGGAACAGGAGACGAGAGAAGCAATTTGATCCAGTGAATGAGACAGGAATCGTGTGAGTATCTGTCGCTGTGATGAGATCTCTGATCGTTGCGACTCTTTCCGGAGGAGGCCGTGAGCACTCGAAATCTCGAGGCGCTCAGGACCCCTCTTCCCTCGGTTCGGTGGTCGGAAAGCGAAAGTTTAGGCGGAGAGCGACGTCAAGCTTCAAGAGCTTGTAGCAATGATTCGATTGTCCGTCCTCACACGGCGGAAGCGGTGGCACCGGGCAGTTTTCTTCGTCCACACTTACCGACTTGTGCGATTTTGCAGAGCCGGAAAGAGAGAATGAGAGACCTGGTTTTCGCTTCATCAGCTACTTCTCTGCGGAACAGGAGACGTTTGCAGAGCGGGCGGCCGGAACAAGACTTTGCCAAGCGAGCTTGCAGCCATCATCGTTTCCCCAGGGCCAAAGCCTTGCGTCCGATCAACAGCTCCCCTTGAGATTGGAGACACTCGAGGGAACAATCGTCCGATTCAGAATCACAGTATGCATCGAACAGCATCTACAGAGTCAGCCACCAATACCTTCCCACATATTACACATTCAGAGAACTTGAAGACCGACCTGAAATTAGTACTTAGATCCGGCGCTGCATCCAACCTCAAAAGCCTCGGAGGCGGTGCCGGCGAACGAGAGGGAGAAAGTTTAGCTTCGAGTCGACTTCAGAGTTTGAAGTCTAAGTTGAAGCTGGTTTCGAAAGACGAGGTCCACTAGTTTTGTTCGGAGGCAGCAGGGAGTGATGTGGAGCGAAGTAGAAACTTGGTTATCCACCTGACTTTAATCATAGCAATTATTGTGATGTGCCATATAAGTGAGCCTACTCCCCTGAGAGACGGGAATATCCGTCCGCCTAATTATGTCGTTTTCTAAACGAGGCGGACTAGTAGAATTGTACGTTCGGGAGGAAACTCGGTGCTACTCGAATATGTTTCCGAGCGCGTATCTTTGGAAGAAAACAAAATCGAGCCTGAAAATGGAGAACAAACGTTGAACAGTGTGAGAGATATATGTAGGTATTTTTTTACCTCCTGATGATGAGACCGAGAGAGGAGAATGTTTTCTAATAAATAGTCTTCAATGATGAGCCTCGTCTTGCCGAATTCGCCTGAATCCTTGTGACACCTTGTCCCTGCCGAGAGTATTCGCTCCTATTTCGCCGTCGATTCGATTTCGACAAGTTACACGCAAGAACCTCCAAGCGGCTTTCACGAGTTTCTCCCGAGATTCACAGAGATTCCGTCATCGTGAGCCGGGAGAGGTCCGGAATGAAGAGCGGCGGTATTTCTCCTCTCAGCTGTTTCCATCTGCATCGCTTTGTTCCGCGTGCGACACTGCTGGTGGATCTCTTACGAGCGAGGCTGCATCTACTCCGTCCGGAGGCCGATGTGCAAAAACGCGATATTGCTGTGGAGGAGAAAAAGCTAAATTACGCTGGTGCGTCCAGCTTGCCCACCAGTCAAGCTGGGCAGCCAGTTCGACAGCCTTCCGCTCGATCTATTCTCCTCATTTCGCTGCAGTTGCCGGTCGCCTTCTCGTTCTCTCCCGCAATCTTGATAATATCGAGCATTTGCTGAATCATACCGCCGCCGCCAACGCCGCCGTCAAGACCCACCACGACGACGACGCCACCCACTCTCCGAAGGGGCATCATTCCTACGGAACAGCCGGCAGACAGTGAGACCATCGGATGAACGTCTCGCTCCGGCGCTCGGATCACTTCAAGCGCTTCTCCCGCTGCCTGAACGTGGGTTTAGGTGCCAGCTCGACTTTTGCATAGCCGACCGTTTCGAGCCCGTGCGGCTTTCACGTTTCCCCGTCTGCGCTTCGAACTCTCTTGGGAATTTATCTTTAGTTACCTTTTGAGCTTTTCTTGCCCATCCGGCGGCCCGCCCGTCCGCCGGGGTGGGCGTTGCGGGGTAGCCGCGGGGTTCCGTCCGGAGTGGAGAGCCGTCGTATTCTCGTTTTCTCTCTTTGTCTGTCGTTTTGTCGAGTCTGCATGCGTGGTCGCCTTATCTGCGACTTTTCTCTTCGGGAACGTCACCCCACCCACTCACCCACCAGGTCGACGCCGACCCATCCAGTCAGCCCACTCGCTCGCCCGCCCGTCCGTCCGTCCGCTAGAGAACCACCCAGAGACTCAGTCAGTTAAGTGGCACTCTTGGGGAGCGCGAACGACGATGACGGTGGATGCAAGGCGCGGCGTCCGTTTCCGCCCTTACAAACTCCACCGGACGCAATTAGGGACTACGAACTGCTTTCAAACATGGCTTGTTCTTGTTACGAACAGAGAGTCTGCATGTATTGATATCTCCGATCGGTTTGCATGCGGATGACGGAGGTGGTGTTCGCAGCGGCAACTTGGTCCAGCCCGATAGCGGATCTGACTGAGCTTCGGAGTCGAATGGAGAACCGAGCAGATTGATACTTGTTCCAGGACTTCGGAACATGATTGAAAGCTCCTTATCCATCAGAAACCCAGTACGTGGAAATGAATCGGTATCAGCGCGTTAGTACGGAGAGTAAAAACTGGAGAGCGGCTACGTTCTACCGAGACACGTAAGTCGCCGGCGTCCTGGGGATGTCGCCTCCCAGGTTCCAATGATTTTACCCTGATAATTCCAGCTCCATACGACAGAGACCGATTCTACTAAAGGAATGGATACCTTGCATCCACCGTCATCGTCGTCCACGTCTTCACAATATCCGTAACACGATGCAATGCGGCAGCGACAATGATATGTTGACACCTGGCCATGAGTTTATGCGCACGAATCATGGGACCTTCAATGATTCGGACCGCCTCACGGACCTCTTCTTTTATTCTCCAAAGCCAGGGGGGAATCGCGTCCCTACCGAGAAAATCGCCCGACGAGGTTTTCATCGCGTATATTACTCGGGCAAGGAGGTGCGTCATCTCTCAGTCAGAGCATGTTCCCACATCCTTCCGTTCCTTATGCACGCGGCCCCGAAGTTCGGCGACCCAACTAGTGCTCGCTTGCATCGCTGTATCCCGAAATCGCCAGCTTCGGAGGAAACAAATTCGCCTCGAGCGGTGTTTCGCACTATCGTCTGTATCGCGTCACTCTGATGCGACAACTCTGGAAAGACAAACAATCTACTCGTACCGGAAAACGGCCATCCCAATGATACCGATACTCTGCCGCCTCACTCATATGCAGCAGCTGCGCGCGGCCGAACGCGTAGCAAAGTTATGGGGTCACCGTGCGTTACGGCAGCGTAGCATCGATTTCTCCGATCCGTGTCCCAATGGTCGGTTTATTGTACGGAAACATTTGCCATTATGGGCAGCTCGTGTGTTATGAGCTTCGATATACCGACGATTCACGACGACGTCGCGGGCGGCCATCGCTGATCCGCCTCGAGAGTTTCACTTGATAATAATTATTGCGAATGCGATAATTGCCAGGTGGCGTGAGAGGACCGACAATGAGTACCCGCGTCGACGCAAAGCTCCACCTGCTTCTCCATTGGTCCGCGAAGGAGGGGGGAATCGACGCCGGTCTCAGATGATGGAAGCGGTGGTGGTGGTCGTGGTGGTGACGTTGGAGAAGCTAGAGAGCGGTCTCGACGGGGAGAGTAGGAAGGGAGCACGGACCCAAACTGCAGACAAAACGAAAAGACTGAAGTCAAGTGGGCGTATCATATTGTCGAGCCAAAGTCACACCATCTCGAGAGCGGGGCTGGAGATCAGTTTTTTTTTGTCCGCCGTCGGAGCAAAATCTTAGCAGGCTTCTCCCTCCTTGAGTCATTAGGCGTCGGAAAGCGCGGCGGCGGAGACCAACGTCGCCGTCTCAGAATGTCACGCAGCTCGTCGGAGGAGCAAAACGAGCTCTCCATCAGACGCTGTGGCCCCGAGTGCGGAGAGTGTTTGTGGGTCACGTTTAGTCTCACGTAGATACGCGATACGATTGCGAGAACGGCTCGCGCATAATTCTGAGCCCTATGGGAAAATCAACATGTTGTGGAAGCGGTCAGCGTGGTTTCGAATTATCGGGGCTCGGGAGCAAAGGCGGAATCGGTCGATCACGCCGAGAAAAATCGAACTCTCGTTCCATGATCCGATTTCAGAATGTCTGCTCATGAGATTGACGCGAGCCGTCTTCTTCCGCTCGTCCAGTATGTCTGTCTGTTCGTCCCCTCGGTTCGCCGAGGAGACGGCTTTTGTTTCTAGTCGGGCCGGTGCTTGATGCACTTGATGTTCCGAAATGGCTCCTGCACGGCAATACGCACGGTACAGAATCCGAACAGGCTCTGTATCATCTTCCACGGTTCGTCGTCTTTATTGCATTCGCAAAAACGTGCATTGACTTCTCGAATGTTTCGCTAGCGTTCGGGATGGCCTTCGTCTACTTGGAACGCGCGAACGGAGACGGCGATCGTGTAGCACGAATGCACATCCTACGAAGAAACTTAAGTTTGTCGGCGATGGACGCGATCTACATCACAAAGCGGAGTATTGTCTCCTTCGGAGTGAGGCAATATACGTCGCTGTGCTCTTTGAACAAATCACTGCCGTGACGTTTGACAATCGTTTATAATACGAATCGCCGCGGCTCACCGAAGGACCGGCCGCGCACACTCCAACAAAGGCTATGGAAATGTGGCCGAGCCATCAGCAGATAACTCGGAATAAAATTTTTATCGTGCAACAGATTATCCCTCCCGACTTGACCGTGTCCCGAGGAAGAAACAGCGTCTTTCAACGAGAGCCTCGGCTTAGTGCCATGTGCCGGAGCTGATCCCAGGTGCCGGAGACTTTTCGAGCGAGACCTTTAGAGACAAAATGGTCGTTCCGCGCCCGATTCGCCACGTCTACTGAAATTTCCGTCAGCGGCCAAGGAGATGAAAAGGTGGGGTTCCCGATGCCTGACTAGTAGGCGATAGAAGCTATGATCATGACTCTAGAGTAGATAGGATGATCATATGAATTATTATTTGTTCAGAGGAAAATCGCTTCCTCGTACGGAATTCTATCGATGCGCAGCCCAATATGAATGTTCCATCACATTCGTGATCATCTTATGCTGATGCAAGATCGGAAGCCCCGATAGCTCCATTGCGGCTAACTCCATTCTTCAAGCCGGTGATCAATGGGCTCTTTTGTCGACACGTCGAGTGATTGCCGAATGAAAGGAGGCTCCGAGAAAGACGAAAGCATCGTCCAGCAATAAAGTCTCAGCTGATGTAATTAAAAAGATGAGCGCGTCGCGTCGTATTGAACTCCATTCCCTTTGTTGATAGCTCGATGAGTGCGGAGCCGCGCAGTCAGTCAATCGATTGTCGGTCATTGATAAATCATTTTCTTTTCGCTCCTTCGAAAGTGACAGCTTGCCGCGTACTTTCTTGCTCGGGAGTGACTGTTAAAGCGTCCGCTTGAATTTCCCTCCGTCAAGTTAACCGGAAGCGGAAGTGGATGAAGGAGGAACGGAGATTGCCCCTTCGAACAACCGCAGGAGATGCACGGCGAGTCAGGTAGTCGAGCAGGTCGGCCTCCGCACGGAGGTGAGGCCCAGCAGTATTCGAGAGCATTCAGCGCTCCAGCTCTTACGGATTGACACTGCGCGCGCCGCAGCACTTCCATCGGAAGCAATCAACGCTGCAATTGAATGAGAGCCGAGGGCACCGAGTGCTCCCGCGGAACTTTTATCGCCGTTCTCTCTTTGAAGTTCTCGGTTGAGATTTGCTCTCTCGATCCACGCGGAGTTATTCTGAAGCAGGAAATCTTAAACTCTATACACCGTGACGATTCCACCGCCCAAGGAAGGAGAGCGCGGTCGATCACGGCAAGAGCAGCGAGATTCGGGATCGCGAAGAATAACACGTGATCATTCAGCACGGACCAGCGATTCCGACCGAGATAAAGCGAAACGAGCCTGAAATGGCGATAATTGTGCCAGTTAGGGCCGCTCGATCTCATTCGAAAAGCTCTTATCGACAGTTTTCTCTTTCTAGTCGCCGAACGCGATCGCTGAGGAAATGGGGCGAGACGGCACAAAGGAACGTGTTTAGGTACCGCTTGAGTGTCGGCGAAAAGGTGAACAATATCACCGCGGACGTG